AAGTTCCTCTCAAATGAGCTGCACAGGAAAAACTAATTATTTGAATAAAACAACAAATCCCTAAGGAGGTGGTTCTCAATCAGGCGATACCCTGCCCCCACCAAGAGCACTTTGAAATTTGTGGGAGTATTGAGTGAGCAGGGCCAGGTATGTTCAATGTCCTGCAAAAGGACAGGATGGTCCTATAACAACTATATTACCCAAAATATTAACAGCGCCCCCCACATTTTAATATTAATCCCTCAAGGGATTTAATATGCTCCAACTTTTCCTGTAGTCGCTGGTTCAGTGGCTCTTCCTAACCTCACTACAACTAGATTAAAAAAACTTGAGGTTTTATAGCTGAGGAGTCTGTTTTGGAATCCAATTTTAAGCTCACAGCTCCAGCATGGAACTTGGTGGTGGAATAAGGAAAAAGACGTTTCTAGTAAGAGACAGACAAGAAATTTAAGCAAGGGAACTCCTTCTCCAGAGAAACCTCTATAAGATTACATTTTTGCAACACAAAATTTCTACTTGTGCTTTTTGAGAACCTTCTTATAGTACTCTTCAGCTTAAAATCAGACACTAATTACAGTTCTTTTAAAAACTTAACTACAATCATCTCAAAAATACACCTGACTCCTTCTGGACCAAATTTTATAAGAAATATTATTAAGTTCAAGATGTTTAAGGGAGGGAGATGCAAGAGGGAAGAGATATGGGGACATATGTACATGTATAACTGATTCACTTTGTTATAAAGCAGAAACTGACACACCACTGTAAAGCACTTATACTCTAATAAAGATGTTTAAAAAACAAAAAAGATGTCTAAAGCTGATCAAATGTCTAAAAGTACCCAAGGTAGTCATGCCTTGCATCTCATTCAGGGCAGAGTTGGATGCATGCAGGTCAGAGAAGCTCCAATGATATCTAGAGGTCTGTTCAGGGATTAAAATTCCATCCTAGCCAAAAAAAAAAAAAAAAAAAAAAGGCAAGGGAGTAGTCATCTGTTATTTGAAGTGAAAACTAAAACTTCTCTAATTCTAAATGCTGTTTCTTGTTGCGTGCATGTGTGCATGTGTGCGCATGTGTGCGTCTTTCACTGGCACGCACACACAAATATTATTGGTGGAGATAGTCTTCTAATTAAATACGTTTTGTAATAAATACATTGAAAAACTTCATAAATGAATATGATTTCCACATATTAAACTACCTACATAGTTACCTAAGTGATAAAGCGTATAAATTTTACCATTATCCAAGCTTTAACACAAAACCTGGTTTCTTGCAGTATCACACGATCCTAAATCTCTCTGTCCAGCAACTTCTGAAGAGATGAAAGAAGGCAGAGAACTCTAGAAGTGTCCCTGTAAGAATACCACTTCCCATTTCTATGTTATTTGGCTTTTGTAAACACCATCTCATGAGACCACAACAGCGACCCGGCAAGGTAAGCATCTCCATCTTACAAGGTATCATCTCCATCTTACAGGTGGAGAAATGGTGACTCTGAGGCTAAATGACTCACTTGCACAAGGTCACAAGACAGGCAGTTAACTAGCAGCCCAACCGGGAGAGGAGCCTAGCCCTCTGACACGCAAGCAGTGCAATTTCCACGACGCTATCCAGCTTCCTCATGTTTTAGGTTGAGAGGCAGTAGAGGGTAGTGGCTAAGAGACCAGGTGGATTCTGATGCTGGCAGACCTGCATGTCAATCCCAACTCTGCCACCTATTAGCTATCTGGCCTTGTGTAGGTTCCTTAACCTCCCTTTACACCTCAGTTTCTTCACCTGTAAAATGGGAATTAAAACATTTTACCTCCTAGAGTTATAGTGATGATTAAATGAGCCGATGAACATACGGCACTCTAATTCATTCACTCAACAAATATTTGTGCCTGGCACATGGAGTGCAGGAGTTACAACAGTGATCAAGAGGCACAGTCTTCCCCTCATGGAGCTTAAAATTTAGTCAACTTAAACAGAAAGAGTAAATGGATAAATACAATGTGTTAAGTGCTATTAAGGTAACAGGTGAGTGACCGGAGAGACTGACAGGAGGGAACCAATTTTTAAGAGTGGTCTCTAAGGAGGAATTTAAGTTGAGCCCTAAGGGATCATAAACGGCTATCCCTGGGCGGAATGGAAGGAAAAGCATTCCAGGCAAAGGAAATAGGGCGTGCAAGGGTCACAGCCCAGAGAAGGCAAATGTGACTGTGTGTATCCTCGCAGCATTTGGGCAGCAACTTTTACAGGCTGGCTGTATTTGTATTTTAAATTTTACAGGCTGGCTGTATTTGTATTTTAAAAATAACAAAGACAAGGCTCAAGAGAGGTGAGGTGTCTCGTCCAAGGTCACAGCTTCTCCAAGGAGGAGCTGAGACCCCAGTATTCTACCTCCTGACATAACAACAGCTCGCTCCCTTTGAGGAAGCCTCTAGCTCACTGAACTCCCCCACTTATTTCACTGACAGCTGTTTTCTGCGCCCATGAAGAGTTCCAAAAGCACCTTGAAAACACAAGCAACGACATCACATCAACTTCCAGGCACCCAGTCAATTGTGCACTGAAATCCCCACTCTTCTACTCTTAAGACAGAAGAGTGAAAACTGCTGGGACCTTCCCCAAGGCTCCAAAATTTCTCTTCTTACAGCAACAAACAAGAGAGGAAGGGGATGTCCTGGAAGGAGGAGCCTGTGGCCTGTTGCAGAAGGTGAGATAGAACCACCATTGCAGAAGAGCGGAAATATCAAAGTTCCTCTCAAATGAGCTGCACAGGAAAAACTAATTATTTGAATAAAACAACAAATCCCTAAGGAGGTGGTTCTCAATCAGGCGATACCCTGCCCCCACCAAGAGCACTTTGAAATTTGTGGGAGTATTGAGTGAGCAGGGCCAGGTATGTTCAATGTCCTGCAAAAGGACAGGATGGTCCTATAACAACTATATTACCCAAAATATTAACAGCGCCCCCCACATTTTAATATTAATCCCTCAAGGGATTTAATATGCTCCAACTTTTCCTGTAGTCGCTGGTTCAGTGGCTCTTCCTAACCTCACTACAACTAGATTAAAAAAACTTGAGGTTTTATAGCTGAGGAGTCTGTTTTGGAATCCAATTTTAAGCTCACAGCTCCAGCATGGAACTTGGTGGTGGAATAAGGAAAAAGACGTTTCTAGTAAGAGACAGACAAGAAATTTAAGCAAGGGAACTCCTTCTCCAGAGAAACCTCTATAAGATTACATTTTTGCAACACAAAATTTCTACTTGTGCTTTTTGAGAACCTTCTTATAGTACTCTTCAGCTTAAAATCAGACACTAATTACAGTTCTTTTAAAAACTTAACTACAATCATCTCAAAAATACACCTGACTCCTTCTGGACCAAATTTTATAAGAAATATTATTAAGTTCAAGATGTTTAAGGGAGGGAGATGCAAGAGGGAAGAGATATGGGGACATATGTACATGTATAACTGATTCACTTTGTTATAAAGCAGAAACTGACACACCACTGTAAAGCACTTATACTCTAATAAAGATGTTTAAAAAACAAAAAAGATGTCTAAAGCTGATCAAATGTCTAAAAGTACCCAAGGTAGTCATGCCTTGCATCTCATTCAGGGCAGAGTTGGATGCATGCAGGTCAGAGAAGCTCCAATGATATCTAGAGGTCTGTTCAGGGATTAAAATTCCATCCTAGCCAAAAAAAAAAAAAAAAAAAAAATTCCATCCTAGCAATTAAAAGCCACTTTCAAATGTTACCCTAAATTAGTCACTAATTCTCCCTAAAAATTATTTCACAATTATTTTAAAGAATTGAAAAAAAAAATTAAGACTGTTTTCAGAAATAGAGATACAAAAAGTCTACCCTATTTCACAATAGCTAGAACAGTGATCCAACAAATAAATCCTCCATAAAGCAATCTTTCTTCTACACAATATCTAAATTTTCTGAAGTCTCCCAAAGGAGTATGAATATGATAACTTCTTCACTGCAACTTGCCAATTAGCAAATAACGTCCCCACACCCCTTCTGACCAATTTTCTAGAAGCCTAACCTGGCTTCTCAGGTTAGCTAAGCAGACAGACCTGTTTTCCTCCAGAAGCACGGAGCAGTGCCTTTCTGCCCTGCCTGTTAGAGCCTGGGAAATCCTCCTCCAGCTTTTCGCTGACCTGTCACCAGAAGTTCACAAAATGAATTCATCCAGGTTCTTTGAATCCTCCTTTCCCCCTGACATGTGCCAACAGCCAGGCAATAAAATGTCACCTCTTGGTTAAAAAAAGATGCAGAATACCCAGAAGACCAAGCACTTAGCATGGAGGGGGAGAAAAAAGATGGAGGGATGCAAGAGTCATTGAGCCAAGGCTACTGCATGCAGCACCGGTAACCAGAGCCCTGGTCCCGCAAAGCCTCCCAGGGAGGCTCCCAGCTGGGCCCTCCATCCAGCAGGCCACACCTGTCTATGACAGCAGCCTGACAGCCGCTCCACTTTAAACAATTCAAACAGATTTCCAGCAGGGTGGCAAAACTAGGCACCCGTCTCTCCCAGCAAGAGCAAGAGCCCTGATCCAAACAGCACTTGGCCCCAATTTTTTCACACCCTTTGTTTAGGAGACACCGCTTGGTCAAATTGGACCCTTCTCTCTCTGTTACCGGTGAGGCAAGCACAATGCAGCAGTTGCAGAAAGAAAGCTTCGAGGCCGACTTGCTATAAGCCAGACAAGACCTGAGGATGGGGATGCCAGTGAATGAGACTTCAATAGGCATCCATAAGTGAACCAACACCTGAAGCCCTAATACGCCCGGCTCCGTAGCCTGTCAGAAAGCCTCTTTTCTAGAGTGTGAGTATCCCATTCATCCCTTGGCTTCGGAAACCAAGGGGAAGGCAGACAGATCCAGGTTGCGCACTCCACCTCCAAATCTTCGCACACGCGCGAAGGTGTGGGGCGCCCCGGCGCGCCCTCGATTGCACTCCACCCTCTGAGGCCTCCACCAACCGCGGACTCACCACTGTGCGAGCTGAACCACCTGGGTGCGATGTGCAGAGGTAGAGCATCCGCCAGCGAGGCTCGGGAGCCCAGGTACAGCATCCCGTCTCTATGGTGACCGCCGCCCGTCTCCTGGTAACCATTGCCGTGGGCATAGGTGGAGTCGGACGCCGACCCTCCGCCGCCGGGCGCCCTCTCGGAGTCGCCGGTTCCCCGGGAGGCGGGGGTGTAGAGGCCAAAGGGCACCCCCCCGGCCGTGCTGGGGTCCATGCCCATGCCCGCCACCGAACTGACCGAGCGGCTGCGCAGCCCCATGGCCCCGCCGCCCGCCCGGTAGTGCCCAAACTGGGGCGCCCCTCCCGGCGGGGGCACGGCGCTGTCATCGGTGGAGACCCCCGGGAAAGGGCCCCGGGAGCGGGCCGCCGTGCTCTGCTTGCCCCCCATGCTCGCCCGGGCCCCGGTGGGGCGGGAACCTGGAGGCCGAGACCCTCCCCCACTTCTCAGCAGCGGGGGGAGGGTTGGGCGAGCATAAAGGGGGAGGGAGTCAAAAAAGGAGACCGGGAAAGAAAAAAGGAAAAAAAAGAAAAAAAGAAAAGAAAACCCGCGGGTGGAAGAGGCAGGCGAGCGGGGATCCCAAACTAAGAATTTAAAACGATCCAAGCCAAACGCATGTTTCCCCTCAAGGTCCAAAGAGGCGCAGTCCGGCGCGGGCTCGGCGCGCCACAGGCCGCCCCCGGGCCCCCGAAAGCCGGGGGCGCTGCAAGGAAGGAGGGAGGGAGGCGGCGGGCGAGCGGGCGGGCGGGCGCAGGGAGGCGCCCGAGGAGGCGGCCCGCCCGACAGCAGGAGGCGGAGGAGGGCTGGGGGCGCCGGGCGCGTCCCCCGCCTCAGGATTCCGCGACCATGGACGGCGACCCGGACCCCTCCAGGCCTCGGGCGGGCTGCGGCGCTGGGCAGCCAGGCGGAGCTCGGGAAGCCGCGGTCGCGTGGCGTAGCGCTTTAGCTGCAGCCGCCGCCGCCGCCTGCCCCGCCAGCCGCACCGCCCTGCTCGGTCCCGGGCTGCGCTCGCCGGCGCTCCTCGCCGCCGTAGAGACAATGGAGAGAAGCAGAGCGCAGGCGCCGCCCGCGCCCCCTCCCCCCCCCCTCCCCCCCCGCCGAGTTAACCCCTTCGCGGCCCCTGCAGCGCCGGGCTGCTGACGCCCGAGAGGTCCCACCCACCCACCCAGCCCGCCTGGAAACTGAGTGGCCTGAGACATGGGGCGTCAGGAACAGAAGCAAGGCGTCTTTCCAAAAAAGCGTTCTTTCAGCCCCTGAAAGTAGCTGATGATTCAGAGGGGAACCACCTATAGCGGGGAGGGGCGACCACGGTTCGAGGGGTGGGAAGGAAACGCAGGGAAGAATAAAAATTACTCTAGACGCCTACCTGGCTTTGAGGGTCACTGGTCAAGCTCCTCTCCCAGCACAAATTTGCCCCCACAGCGCCCTCTGGTGGACGTGCTGTCCGTTCTATCGGAGGTTCCCCATCCTAGAGCCCCTAAAATCAGGAAGCTTAGCATTTGGGGGATTTTTAGTTTTTCGAGAGTGCTTTTCGCTGGGGCACTTGTGACTCCAGATTTTGCAGACAGTAGGTCAGAACTTCCTATTTTGGGCTTAAGCAAATGGGTAGATTTCTTAGTTAAAATGTGATCCTGGGGCTTCCCTGGTGGCGCAGTGGTTGAGAATCTGCTTGCTAATGCAGGGGATGCGGGTTCGAGCCCTGGTCTGGGAGGATCCCACTGTGCCGCGGAGCAACTAAGCCCGTGAGCCACAGCTACTGAGCCTGCGCGTCTGGAGCCTGTGCTCCGCAACGGGAGAGGCCGCGACAGTGAGAGGCCCGCGCACCGCGATGAAGAGTGGCCCCCGCTCTCCGCAACTGGAGAAAGCCCTCGCACAGAAACGAAGACCCAACACGGTCAAAAATAAATAAATAAATTTTTTTAAAAAATGTGATCCTGAAAATCATTAGGTGTATGATAAAAAGTGAAAAGATATGGACATGGAAATGGAATAATACAGATAGAACTATTGATTTTAGAAACTCCCTAGTCCAAGGCGGGACCCCTGTTTTGTTTACCATTTATCCTGGCATGCACCACAGGGCCTGCGACACAGTAGGTACTCAATAAATATTTGCTGACCAAGTCTGCACTTTGCAATATGTATCTCTCACATATTCACACTTACTGATTCATCGTTCCTTCGTCCATTCATTGGTTCAACAACTATTTTTCAAGTGCTGAGTGCTGGCTATGAGCATCACCCAGTCCCTGGCCTGACTTCCTTGCCCTAAATGTCCTCCAGATACTTCCAAATCAAGGAGCCAAAACAGGGTGTAAAGAAATATTAAAACCAAAAAAAGAAAGGTTGATCTGTCACAGGTATTGATTGTCCCAGTGTGACCAGCTTGGAAAGAAACAGGAGGAAGGCTATGTGCAAGCATGGAGTGCTTTTGAGGGCAGGGGAGGCAGTGAGCAAAAAGCCCTGCCGAAGGAAGTTGAGATTTCTGTATGAGAAATGATGTAGCAAAAACAGAATGTTTTAATACCCAAGAAGTTATCTGTAAGTGCCTAAATGGGGAATTTGTATACACCTAAGATCCAAATATGTGATCTGAAGAAAAACAAGAAAGTTTAAATTTAACCCAATTTACTCCCTGAAGAAAGAAGTGGGGTATTTCAGTACCATGCAGAAAAGAGGGTACTAGATCCCTTGACAGATGTCTATGGGGAGATAAATATATAATCAATAAGTGTTGTAACCATCTAACTAGCTTTTGATTTTCCTATTCATTCAACACGTTTTTTTAATGTTGAACAAAATATGATTTTTTTTTTTTTTTTTTTTTTTTTTTTTTTTGCTGCGTGGCACAGCTTGTGGGATCTTAGTTCCCCAACCAGGGATCAAACCTGGGCTCCGGCAGTGAAAGTGCGGTGTCCTAACCACTGGACCACCAGGGAATTCCAAAAATATGAATTTCTAGTAAGTGCCAGGCACTGCACTAAGTTCTAGGATACGATAGTGAGAAAGACATATAGAGTCTTGTTCTCATAGGGCTTCAGAAGAAACACTAACCTAAATGTCCATCAACTGATGAATGGATAAACCGAATGTGGTATATCCATACGATGGACTGTTATTCAGCCATAAAAAGAATAAAGTGCTGATACATGCTACAACATGAATGAACCTTGAAAACACTAAGTAAAAGGAGGCAATCACAAAAGATCTTATATTGTCTGATTCCACTTATATGAAATGTCTAGAATAGGCAAAACCATTGAGACAGAAAGAAAGCCTGGAGGGAGGCAAGAATGGAGAATGACTGCTACTGGGTTTCTTTTTGGAGTGGTGAAAATGTTCTGGCATTAGATAATGGTGATGGCTGTACAACCTTGTAAATATACCAAAAAAAAAACACAACCCACTGAATTATACACTTAAAAGGGTGAATTTGATAGTGTATGAATTACAGTGCAGTAACATACATATATATATATATACATATACATATATATATAAAGTATCAAAGGAGTCAGTGACAGTACAGTGTGGTAAATAAGCCTAGAACAGGGACTTCCCTGGTGGTGCAGTGGTTAAGAATCCACCTGCCAATGCAGGGGATATGGGTTCAATCCCTGGTCCGGGAAAGATCCCACATGCCACAGAGCAACTAAGCCCGTGTGCCACAACTACTGAGCCTCCGCTGTAGAGCCCACAAGCCACAACTAATGAAGCCCCGGTGCTTAGAGCCTGTGCTCCGCAACAAGAGAAACCACTGCAATGAGAAGCCCGCGCACTGCAACAAAGAGTAGCCCCCACTTGCCGCAACTAGAGAAAACCTGCGTGCAGCAACAAAGACCCAACGCAGCCAAAAATAAATAAATAAAATTAATTAATTTTTTAAAAAAGCCTAGAACAGTGCCTGGCAAGTACGTGACACTCAATAAATGTTTGTGAAATGAATTAATGAATGACTAAGTGCTATGAGAGTTCAAGACCATGGTGCTGATGGAAGGAGACAGGCACAGACACAGTGATTCTAAGCCAAGACCTAAAAGATGAGTTGGAGATTAGCCAGGGAAAGCAGGGTGGAGGTGGGGGATTAGATGTGTTTCAGGAAGAGAAGAATGTTCCAAGCAAAGGGAACAGCATGTTCAAAGGAACTGAAAGATGCAGTAGAGCTGCAAAGAGAGGAAGTGGTCCTCAGAAGCTGACAAGAGGGTCCAGGGAGCCATGGGAAGGAGCATGGACCGTATCCTGAGGGGATGGGGAGCTGTGGAAAGATTTATCAACATCATTATCATTAAAAATAATGATTAATAAGGCCAATGATTAATGAAGATTCCAACTTGGAAAATTAAGAAACTTATCCTCTCCCCAAATAAAGATCTATATTTTTCTTTGCTTACATATTCATAAAGATACTGGATGGAAACATGAAACAACATAGTGTAGTCCCTTGGGGGCGGTGGGCAGTAGGAACTGGAGAGCTGGGTGAGAGGATAGATGGGAAATGTTTCATTTCATTATACACCTTTTTGTATTTTAGTGTTTCAGCCATGTAAATTTAAATAGAGAGAGAGAGAGAGAGAGAGAGAGAGGTATATAGAAAGTGTATACCACATGCATTAAGACTTCATCTTCCAATGCAGGGGGTGCGGGTTCGATCCCTGGTCAGGAAGCTAAGATCTCACATGCCTTGCGGCCAAAAAACCAAAACGTAAAACAGAAGCAATATTGTAACAAATTCAATAAAGACTTTAAAAATGGTCAACATCAAAAAAAAAATCTTAAAAAAAAATGATATACCACATGCACACTGAAAAGTCATACAGCTGGAAGGAGCAAAGCTGGACTTCTAAGCTCTACAGTGAACATGCTCATCAAGGAATCTTTGCATGACAATTTCATTTTCTCTCTATGCTTTCCAACGGGGTGAAAAAGATTAGATCTGCTTAACAGCTCTATTTCTTTTTGTATATTAATAATTTGCCCTTAAGCTGTATATTCCAAGCTACTATCATAAGCTAGTCTCTCTCACATCTGGCACCACTGAACAGCTGAGAACCTGATCTGCAAAGGGGAAGCCCCTGCTCTCTGCAATGTGATGACACTAAATTTAGGTGGCCTGTGGGACCCCAAGTGGCAGCCTTTCTCAGGCAATGCCCTTGTTATCTCCTTGTGCAGTTATTCATATGACAAATTTCCCCCTGAAATGAAAATATTAAGATACAGAGCAGGGAAAGTTCAATCATTCAGTTGCTTGATTCTGTCCTTTACATCTTAGAAAGAGGGACTCATGGCATAACAACAGGCATCCACTGAGACCTGAAGCCTCAGATTTGTTTCATTTCATCGTTTGTTTCATCAAGAGTCCTGTACGTATTTTGTTCCAAGTTTCTCCTGTGGGTTCTTAGTTTAAAGTTAACAGGTCTGGAGAGAGTGGCAAGTCATTCTGGATACTCTTTTTTCTTTTTAATGTATTTAATTATTTTACTTTTTGGCCATACCACGCAGCATGTGGGATCTTGGTTCCCCAACCAGGGATAGAACCTGTGCCCCCTGCAGTGGAAGTCAGAGTTTTAACTGCCGGACCACCAGGGAAGTCCACATTCTGGACTCTCTTGATGCAAGGATATCAGATGCAAGAATGGCCCCAGCTAGACTTGGGACCTCTGTTTTATTTTTTATCTTCATGCTCTCACTTACCCTGGGCGAACTGCTTCGTGGCTCTCCTTCAGCTGTGAAACAGGGTTAATAAATCACTAACCCACCTACCAGAATAGTCAGGAGAAAGAGCTGATAAAATCAGCATTGACTGTAGCCAATATTTTATAATAACTATAAATGGAGTATAACCTTTAAAAATTGCGAATTACTATGGTATACACCTGACATATAATATTGTAAATCAACTATACCTCAATTTTAAAATATTTTTATTTATTTATTTTGGCCATGCTGCATGGCATGCGGGATCCTAGTTTCCTGACCAGGGATAGAACACCGGGCCCCCTGCGGTGGAAGCACAGAGTCCTAACCACTGGACCACCAGGGAAGTCCCTATACCTCAATTTAAAAACAAATCAGCATTGCCTAAGCCATTTGCCTTTGCAATGTCAGTGCATAACAATGGTGCAAAAACCCGGTTTTGAACATCACCTTGAAGAATGTAAGTCTGGGGGACTTCCCTGGTGGCGCAGTAGTTAAGAATTCGCCTGCCAATGCAGGAAATAAGGATTCGAGCCCTGGTCCAGGAAGATCCCACATGCCGCGAAGTAACTAAGCCTGTGCACCACAACTACTGAGCCTGCGCTCTAGAGCCCGTGCTCCGCAACAGGAGAAGCCACCGCAACGACAAGAACGCGCACCGCAACGAAGAGTAGCCCCCGCGCGCCGCAACTAGAGAAAGCCTGCGCGCAGCAACAAAGACCAAACACAGCCAAAAATAAATTTTTTTTTTTTTTCAGTACGCGGGCCTCTCACTGTTGTGGCCTCTCCCGTTGCGGAGCACAGGCTACGGACGCGCAGGCT